TACAGTGTGCGGCTTTAAATTATTTTTTGTTAAGCACAATTCTTTAATATTACGAAAATTTGAGGACAAAATCCGATTCCCATTTACGGTAAAAGTGCAATTACTAATATTTAATGATTCCAAACATTCGAAACAAGTGAGCGCCTCCAATGAACTAACAGCCGGACTGAAAAAATATAATAATTTAGTCAATGAATTCCTATGGGCTTTCAATGATGTGATGACTCTATTTATATTTCCCATATAACCAAATGACCTGATACTACGCTGGGACTTGATGATGTCGCAGAATAATTCATTATCCACTCCCGAACCCAAATCGTAAATTCTTATATCTCGGATATTTGAGCAGACTGAAGGTATACTTTTTAGGAAATTTAACGGGCCCCTGATCTCTCTGAAACCATTTAATTTGTCGTCTGTAAGCAAAAAAAGAAATTGAAGGTTTGACAAACTATGCCTAGCATTTAATATCATTGATGCCTCTGGAAAAATAGATTCAACAGATGATTTCTTAGAGACATTATAAAAGAAAGATTTAAGATTATGACTTCTTGATAAAAACATTGTCCAAAGTACACGTGAGATTTGTTTAATTCTTAAATCTTTCTGGTCGACATTACGAGCTGTCGTTAGCCTTAGCCAATCGCGGGCTCCTACTTCAAGAAGATAGTTATTGCATGATTCCATGTACTCCTCATATTGAAGGAGTGGGCGTTGGTTAATATCGGATATATTAATGTCAAAAGGAATTAAGTTCGCCTTTTCCTCTTCATTTAAGCATGAAAGGTAAGTCCTAATTAGTAAATCTCTTCGTTTTGTTTTAAATAATGGATTAGACCATAATTTTGGTATTGCAATTTTAAACATGAAATGATTAACATAAATACAATTGTACTAAGTGTTAAAATCAGTAATATGTTGTGTTAAGTAGTATAGACAATCATCCAAAAGGTAAGGAGCACTCATATTTGAGGTCCGAGGAGAAGAGGTAAATACGTCGATATGATTAGATAATGAACCAATTTATGTACTATGCGTATGCATTGGATGTGTAACATTCATGTGATACATACAAATCCTTTGCTTTTTAAATAAGATGTAAAATTCTATAGTTTACTGGATTTGCCAAGGTCCTAAATATGATATTGCAACTAGCGTCTATCTTGCAATTTTAGAACTTTAAAATTTTACGTTATCCCAAAAAACTTCTTCCGTGATGTTGAAAATTACTTCGATTATCCCAGAACCATTCGTCTTATTATCTCAATTTCCTCTTACACAGTACTTTATTCCATCCACTCCGGTTACTACACCAATATTCTGCTCTCTACCTAGTTTCAACTTTAAATTGTCCATAAGTCAAGTGTGGCAAAAGTTATCAATATGTACGCCTAGCGGATTTATGATTCGCCAAGCTACAGTATTCAGAAGGTCGATTTCTGGTAATTCATCGAGGTAATAGCTTTCAGGCAAAATTTCTTAAAGGTTTCCATTTACAATAATGCAATGTCCAAACCTTTAAATTTTGCAAAGATACCTAGAAAATAGAATATGTAATTGTACCAAAATAAATGCTTTGATACGCCATCATTTTGCCCATCTTTCGAGATTTCTTATTTCGACATCATACGAACCAATCGATTCCATTGCTTTCAATGGAAAGAATTTTTGTATATATTACATTACCTTCTGAAAAAAATTTTGATACATATCAAGCAAATACGTTGATCTTTTAAAATATTCTCTAGGTTTGATGTCAGAAGGAATTCATGATATTTTTTTTGATGTCGGGCTATTTGATAATGCATATTATTTATCCAATGAAGTCGCTCTAAAATTAATTGATATAGGGATGTTAATCGTTCCCAACCGATCCCAAAGAAATTACTGGTTACAAAAATGAATTTTCATCACGAGTTACTAATTAAATAAGTTTACAACGATTTTTTTATCAAGGTTCCTTATTGGAGATAGATTAAAAAACTTTTCGAGAGTCTAAAATCTCTTAAAGTATGGTGTTGAGACCGCAGTCCCAGGATCGATCCGGTCCCAACGGTTCCAACAAAATTGTAGCTTTTTCAAATAGAGTTTTATTTGAGCCTTTAATAAAACTTACTTACAATCATATTTAATAAAGATTATTTATTAAGTATAAGCTCTTGGACTCATCTAAAATTCATGATTTTAAAATTTGTTTTTTGCTGTGGGACCGATTAACATCCCTAATTTTTAGTAATTATCTTTTATCGGAGACTATTTCGTGCGGTGAAAAAATTTTAAAGTCACCAAAATCACACGACAATATTTTATCATAAATTTTTCAAAAGCATTTGGATAACAGACCTTTGATAATAATTTATAAAAGAATTTTTCTAAAATAGGAATAAAAATAAAGGATCATATACTGTATATATGGGGTATTTCATAATTTTTTGAAAAAAATTGTTTTAAACTATATAAATATAAAATAAAAGTTTTGAATAAATTTTATTTACATTTTTTAAATTTTAAATATTTTTTATAATAAATATAAAATTTTAAAAATTGAATTTTAGCTTATAAAATTATTCAAAATCAATTTATATTATTAAAATTAATATATACACTGTATATTAGATAAAAGGTTCTATAAAAACAATTAACATTATAATATAAATATTTAATAAAATAATTTTTGTATATTTAATAAAAATTTTAAATAAATAATAAATTTATTTTTTAAAAAAATAAGCAATTAATTTTTTATTGATATTTTTTAAAAAGTAAAATTTAAATCATAAAAGAAAACTGTT